AAAAGGCTGCAAGAGAAGGAAACTTGAGACAATTGTACGAAACAACAAAGAAGCTCGCCGGAAACTATCGTAAACCAGAACGACCAGTGAAAAGCAAGGAAGGGAAAATAATCAGCAACACTGACGAACAGCGAAATAGGTGGGTGGAGCACTTTAAGGAACTATTGAATCGACCAGCTCCACTGAACCCACCCAACATCGAAGCAGCATCCACGGACCTCCCAATTAATATTGGCGCACCTACGATTGAGGAGATCAGTATAGCCATCAGACAAATCAAGAGCGGCAAAGCAGCAGGACCAGACAACATTCCAGCAGAGGCAATGAAAGCAGATGTGGAAGCAACTGCGAAAATATTTCACATTCTCTTCAAGAAGATTTGGGATGAGGAACAAGTACCATCAGATTGGAAAGAAGGATACCTCATCAAAATACCAAAGAAAGGCGATCTCAGCAAGTGTGAGAACTACAGAGGCATCACTCTTCTTTCAATACCAGGCAAAGTCTTCAACAGAGTATTGTTAAACAGAATGAAGGACTTCGTAGACGCCCAACTTCGAGATCAACAGGCCGGATTTCGTAAGGATCGATCGTGTACTGACCAAATTGCTACATTACGGATCATTGTGGAACAACCAATTGAATGGAACTCACCACTCTACATCAATTTCATCGACTACGAGAAAGCATTCGATAGTGTGGACAGGGAAACACTGTGGAGGCTTCTTCGACACTACGGTGTGCCTGAGAAGATAGTTAACATCATACGGAATTCTTATGATGGATTCAACTGCAAAATCGTACACCGAGGTCAGCTGACAGACTCTTCTGAGGTGAAGACCGGTGTCAGGCAAGGTTGCTTACTCTCACCCTTTCTCTTTCTCCTGGTCGTCGACTGGATTGTCAAGACGTCGACGTCTGGAGGGAAGCACGGTATCAACTGGACAGTTAGGACGCAGCTGGACGATCTGGACTTCGCAGATGACCTGGCTCTTCTGTCTCACACGCAACAACAAAAGCAAGTGAAGACGACCAGTGTAGCAGCAGCCTCTGCAGCAGCGGGTCTCAACATTCATAAAGGAAAAAGCGAAATTCTCCGATGCAACACAACATGCACCAACCAAATCACTCTTGATGGAGATGCCTTGGAGGACGTTAATACCTTTACACATCTGGGCAACATCACCGACAATCAAGGTGGATCAGATGCAGATGTGAGGGCGCGGATTGGCAAAGCATGGGCTGAATTTCTACAGTTGAAAAATATCTGGAACTCCAAACAACTTTCAACCAAAACCAAAATCAGGATTTTCATTACAAATGTCAAGGCAGTTCAACTGTATGGAGCGGAAACTTGGCAAACTACGAAATCCATCATCCAGAAGATACAAGTGTTTATTAACAGTTGTCTACGCAAAATATTTCGGATTCGTTGGCCAGACACCATCAGCAACAACGTACTGTGGGAGAAAACAAACCAGATTCCAGTGGAGCAGGAAATCAGGAAGAAGCGGTGGAAGTGGATAGGACACACGTTGCGGAAAGCACCTAACTGCATCACGAGACAAGCCCTCACATGGAACCCTCAAGGAAAAAGGAAAAGAGGAAGACCAAAGAATACATTACGCCGAGAAATAGAGAAAGATATGCGGGGAATGAACAAACATTGGACAGAACTGGAGAAGGAAGCCCAGGACAGAGTTGGTTGGAGAAAACTGGTCGGCGGCCTATGCTCCATTTGGGGTAACAGGCGTAAGAAAGTAAGTAAGTAATACTTTTGATAGACACATGGGGTTTCACCTCCACCTTGAGGTTATTGTTGTCCACAATGATGTTCCGACTATTCACAGTTTATGACGAGTTGCGAGATAGTTGGCATGCAGGCTTTAAAGCTAATTTACCACTTTTGCCACTTACACTAACACTATCGATGTTGCTGTGACTAATTGGACCAGTATACAACCGTCCATCCGTTGACTGTAAACAAACATCAGCAGGACGCGTTAAGCTGCTATTATCTTTCACTTCAATATCATGATGCTCCGTAGAACTAGATATAGTAGCCCGCAGACATCTTGATTGCTCAGCAACATGAAGTGCTGTGTCACTATTTACGCTTGTTGTCCTAGGATCAAACCTAGGTCGTGTCAAATAATTTACCCTACGTGAAGGGTTCAGAACATAAGCTTCATTCCATACAGTCAAACCTGTTTTGTCCTTGTTCATATTCACTGTACTCATCAACCTCTTTTTGCTCGAATCCAAATTATCATTCCTCGCATTCAAAGTCCACCTTATCTGCTACAGGTACCGACTTCTCACTAGGATACAGATCAAGGGGTTTTAAACCATCAGGGTTACATGCTCGGTCTTCAAGATGATATACCTTGCTAATACAATGAACGACTCTTTTAAGTTCCGGGTGTGAGGTAGGTGCAAACACGTTTGAAGAATTCCCATGTCTCACACGCAGATGACTACTAGATTCCATATCATGTCCTGTTTTCGCGCGATTAGCTAATCTTCCGAATCTACTACTAGCTATCCTAGCACGAGACATAATAAAGTCAGTCAATTCATTGAATGTAGGCTCTCTTTCCTCTTCGTCCCACTTAATTCCCAGCTCATCCCACTGGACTTGCATACGATGAGGTAAGAGCCTAACTATTCGCTCCAAAGTTACTAGGGAGTTAAGTTCCGCTGTACAGTTTAATTGTTCCAGAGTCAGAGCAACGTTCTGCATCTTAATTGCTAAATCCGACAATTGCTCTGGGTCGCTGTTATCAGCATTCCCAGATCTAAACAAGTCTTCCAAGGTTTCAATAGCTATTACATGCGATTGTCCGAAAAGCTGCTTTAGAATCGCCTTAACCCTTTTATATTATGCATGGGGTTCCATTATAAGACATCCTTCAATCGCATCTCTCGCCTTTCCCTTACAATAGTGGATTACGTACAATAAGGGTAGATTGTCATCCATAACTCTAGGTTCTATAAATGATTCGAATTGATTTACAAACCTAAAGTATTCGCGGTGTCTGCCATCTAAGAAAGAGAGTTCAACCTTTGGCAACTCTAATCCAACTACCGGTGTCCTAGGCCTCAAATCCTTCCCAGATACCTCTAAGTCCTCGTCCAAACTTCGTTCCTTAGTACCCTCTAATGATGAATTACAACAATAAGTACTAAGCATAATATCGTTCTTACTAGAGAGTGAACCCTTTAAAAATGAAGTTTCATAAGGGACTTGCCTCATATACCGCGATTCTTCAAGGATTCCATCTCTCTTCGTGTTTGCTTTCTTACGAGAACTCATGACCAATTGAAATTCAGCGAAAAGGAAACAAGAAAGACCAAATATAAAATTTCACCAGTAAATCTTCGGCAATGAGAAATCCAAAGGGACCAAAAGATCGTCTTCCCAAAATACAGTTTAAAAATAGTAAATGATAAGTAATCCAAAGGTTTTTCTTCATAAAGTGCGCAAACTGTAAACCTAATATCATTGTTGATACTGGGGTATCCGCATTTCAAAAAGGACCATATCAGTCTGAACCATTACTTTGTAGTTTTTAATAAGAAATATTTAAGCAGGTGGATAAAACGTCGAACAGCTTTGAAAGAAGAAATCTTAAAACTCTGGATTAGACAGCGATGAACATTTCCAAAGTTCTTTTCGTTACACTTTGTGAAATAACCTTGAGTAACGCGGCTTAGACAACCGTAATCGCGCCATGGATCCTGCTGGTTAGTTTAATATCCTTTTACAGTATTTTGCAGTTATTTCCGCACTTCATTGTCTTGAAAATGATCAACATGAACAACTTGATTTTGAAGATGAAAATCTGCCAGTTAATCCGTGGGAAACAGAAGTATATTCACCTCAGTTATTAATAATTGTATAAAGCTACTTTCTTTGAAGAAGAATAATAAAAGAGAGTATCGCGAAAGTTCAGCTTCCTCTTCAAGCTCAGAAAGTTCCGGATCGAGTCCTTACGATGAAGGTGAAATGAGAAGTAGCGATGAATCGGAATTCAGCAAGGACGATCAGAGTTCTGAAGAAGGAGAAGTACAGTCTGAGATTGATGAGGTAAGTTCTTAGCTTTCATTTATGTTTTTTATTTCTTTGTTTCTACGCTCATTTGGATGGTATGTCTGTTTGACCAAAGCTCCTAACCGCAATTTTCGGATAAAGGGTTATGGGAAAACTCATTTTTTGTCAAGACCAATTGTCAAGTAGTTTTGTCACAGTCATGTTGTTACTACTATGATCATATGGTTTCTATAGGTTTAACTTTTACTCAGGACGCTTAAGGTGTTTTCCCGTCTCGTAATGACTCTGGCAGTGAAGAATTGATATCACAAACAAATATTTATGGTGGAAGTTAATGAATCTTGTGGATGTTTTCCTTTTGTTTTAAATACAGAATAATCCACAATGCATAAATGCGTCTTTTACTCGTTTTTAGTGGAGTAATCTGTTTCATTGATTGCTAAGGTTTACCAAATTATCTGTAGCATGATTATCCTATGTCGGAAACATGATAAGTAATGCTGAAATTAGAAGTGGAGTACTACCCCATAGTGTGATTGTGAACTTCAGTTAACTCAAGTGGTTGTGTTGCCTATACCTACCTACTCCAACCGAAATGAACAAAGCCGTCAGTTCAGAAATCTATAAAATATTTAACTGTACTTTTTAGATATCGTGTGCGTAGTTATAATCAAATCAATATGCAACTCTAATTCGCACATTCTTATTTGTATATGTTCTGAACTTGCGCCGTTAATACATTAAAGAGTAGTACCTTAGTTGGTTTTGCTTATATACAGCTTATTTTCAATTTTTTACAGATCGAAGGAACAGCAGATGTAGTTAAAAAGGACGAAACACCTTGGGAACGTGGTCTCCGTCTGGCACGTGAAGTGAGTCATAATCTTTGTTTCCAATCTACATTTAACGTACAATTATATTTTTACAGGTAAAGTCAGCAGTCGGCTTGTATCATTAGTCCTCCCATTCAATATGGCTCACACCCAAGTATCTAGTCAACAAGTTAATCTAGAAATCATTGAAATTAGTATTAGAACCTCTTGAAGTCAATTAACTTGATAGAAAAAAGTAGTTTATGCTCATATCTTTGTGTTGTTATCTACAGTTATCAGAATTGTCAGTCATTAAAAAAAACGAATAACTTTGATGATATTATGATACACTAGTATCTTTTGAAGTCTCATCACATAATTTACTATTTTGTTTTGTACGCTTGCAAGCGTAATTTTAGCACACTGTAAATTATTGTTTGTACTTATGCGCGTACACATCTACAAAAAGTACTGAACAAATGAAAGAACAAAACACGATTGATCATTTTTCAGGTACAGGTCTGTGTTTTTGGCTCTGAACCACGCTGAATGTGAGGACTAGTAATACTTCTACTCTGTTGTACAAATCAAAGTAGAAGCAGCTTGGAAATGAAAGTACGGCACCGTAACCACAAGAGAAAAGAATAAACTTTTAAAAGCTGTAAGACAGTATGAAATATAAAACCGACATACTAAAATTCCAACAAAACAATATTATGAAGAACAGTGCAAGCAATAAGAATAAGTGAGAGTTAAGGTATTTCTCACAAATAGGTCGGCTTTCCACCTATTCGTTTAATGAGAAAGAAAACGAAGTAATATACCTGGATCATTCTGATTTTCTCTGTACTTTTTCAGCTACCGCCTCATGCATGACATTCGTGTAGTGTACAACAATGTTGTGTGACTATTAAAATGAACATAGGCACCATAAAAAACTGTAAATCATAAAATATGGTCAACCTTGTTTTCTCCTTTAAACATTCGCAATTTCCTTGAATGTATAACAATACGAAATCAGTAATAACTGTTCGTTAAAAGGTTATCCCTACTTGCTAACAATCCAGACCTAATTTTACGCCCGTCGTCAGTATATGACTTAGTGTGACAACATGGCTTAGTCCACGTGGCAGTGACTTCATGGATTTATGCAATATTTTGGTCTGGCCGTCCGTACCTTTCTTCCAGCCTACTCCTACACTACAATACATCGTTCGTCTAGGCAATCGGTAGTTGGGCATACGTAGCACATGTCATACACTGGTTTATATTCATTCTCTTTGTTGTAATAATCGATTCGCATCTCTCCATAATCTAAATTTTTATTTATTTCGGCGTGATGCTTTGTTGTACCAATATTTTTTTTTTTAATGAATTCAACAAATAACTTAGTAGTTTAGTTAGCTGGCTAATTGTAAATCAATAAATTGACGGTTTAAAACACTCCAATCCTTAGTGTAATCTGTTTGGCCTAGTAAGGTTGCATATTAGTAAACTTGTTTTATAAACTTATCATAGTTCAATTTAGTGGTTTAATATAGTGTATAATGAGTAAATTTCATATTGTCCTAACTAACCATTTAAGCCAGTATTATTATTATTACTGCGGTAAAAGTATGTAAATACAACTGATTCAAAAAGAATTCTCTAAAGAATGAAATAAACGTCTTTTTCTTTCACTTAATAAGTTGCAGATATAAATCTCTCAACTCACCGACTTCATTTCAATCTCCCAAGTTGTATCACTAAACCCCTGTATAGAAATAAAGTGTTCCAATCCTACGTTACTTTCTCTCAAATCCTAACCTTCGGAGTTATCCGTGTACTAACCAAAGGACGAGTCTACTGCCCAGCAGTTCGCTCCGTCCTACGTTACTGGTGTGAAACATGGCCAATTAGAAGGGAGAATATTTGTTAGCTACTAGTATTCGATCATAGGCGTCTTCGAAGCATTGCTTATATATCCTGGGATAATCGAGTAAGCAATACTGTTGCTAGGAAAAGGGTACTAGCTAAGGATGGAAAATCAATTGATGGAGTACTGAGTCTTCATCAGTTGAGATGGTTAAAACATGTGTTACGTATGTCAAACCACTGACTGCCCCGGCGAGCTATGTTGTTTGATGTTGGGGTAGGTTGAAAGAAAGCTAGGGGTGGCCAAAACAAACTATGTCAAAAATCTATGAGGCCACTGACAAGTGGACTGTGCCATGTTAATAGTTGTAGACTACCTGGCTGGGATCCGCGAGACGATAGTAACCGATGGTTAGAGACCTCGAACGACATAGCTCAGAATCGTTTGCAATGGTGCAGGTGCACTCATTCTTTGTGTTCTCTCAAATCCTAACCTGAATTCCTCATCACCTTTATCTCATCTCTCTTCGATTACTGCTAATACTTCTACTACATGTACTACTAACCCATAGACAATTGCATCTCTGTACGAATGTGGTATGGCAACTTGAACTGATGTATAAACGTACAAAGTTCTACGTTGTATCCGACTGACTAATTGATTTTTATACCATGAAATCATTCTTAGTAAATTGAATTACACATTGAATACTACTAACTGAATTCATTACCCATATTACTTGTTATCCATGTTCTTATTTCAAACCAATCAACCCGCCATCCATCCACGCATCCACCTTTTTTACTCTCTCTCTCTTTCTCTTCATGTCCACAGCGTTTAGAACGTGCCAGAGCGTTAAAAGCTAAAGAAAAAGATCTTGTTGAAAAGCGTATGAATTTACCAGTGCCAGCACCAGTGATCGATAAAAAAATCGATACTCTATTAGAAGATGATTTTTTGTAAGTTTAATTTTACATGCTCAATAGGGATGCATCTCATATATTTTCGTTTTTATGTTTATTTTGATCAGTGATACAGTTAGTCTCAGTCATTTTAGATGACATTGATTTTTGTGAATGGAAACCTGAACTGTAACAGAAGTAACACTAGTAATCTACCTTCGACCTTAAACGACATGGCTCAGAATAGTTTGTAATGGCGCAGGTGCATCCACTCTTAGTGTTCTCTCTAATCCTAACCTTCTGAATTCCTCATAGTCTCTGTCTTTCTCCGTACAGATTAATCTTACTGAATTATACTTTTCGAATCATATCTTCGCTCCCTAATCTTCTCCATTGCTGCTAATAATCATACTATCATTATCACCCTTGGATTTGAACTGACAGTTGCGTCTCTGTGCTGATGTGCTATGGGAACCTGAACTGATGTACTTATGTACGAAGTTCTGCATTGTATCTGTCTGTCTGTCTGTCTAACGATTCGAACGGTGTTGTATCAGACAAGATTAAAAATCTATCTTTTAACAGAGAATGTCTGAAATAGCTAACTGATGATGTACTTCACAAGAAAAGAGGTTGCATAATTCAAGGCTTTGAATATCGTATGAAGTTTACTCCTGATATGCTCGTCGATTGATAGACCTGAAACTATTACGGGTTTACCTTAGTCGGTAAACGAGAGCGAAGACAAATGATCCAGTGACACGATAGGCTACTCTAATCTGAGCGTTCCAAGGCCCTCACTGTGTGGTGGAAAAAGTCTTGACAAGACGTAGATAGTGTATCCTACAAGCACCCAGAAAAGATGAGTGTCACAACCACACAAATCGAGTTTATTTATACATGATGGAAACGTCCTTGGGAGAGTCACAAAAATAGCGTACTAAGATAATACATCAACCAATAACAGTCAAGGATTTTTCTGGTGGGAAGTGTAATCTCACAGTCAACTGATCAACCCATAAATAAAATCCAAAATTAGGACCTTTATCAAGTGATTTCTGGGGATCTAACGTCCCCAACAACTTCAGATACTCATGTTTAACTTCGCAACTGTTATAAATTGAATGAGGCATTTTTTAGACTAACGCTTCTTATACTCGAACCCCGACTATTTTATTTTCGTTTTTTGTCCTCTTGTGTGAGGTCAAACAACAATATCAAACTGGTAACACGTCCGTATTTTTATATTTCGAGTTTTCGTTTCTCTTCATTTCGCGCTTCTGTCTTTTAATGCCTAAGAATATTCTCTTAATGTCAAAGTTAACACGTAATAGGTCCCTGAGTAAATATCCCAGTCTACACACAAATTCAGTGATTTGTGTGGCTCATGTATATTTTGGTATCATTTTGTTTCAGTAAAATCTAAAGTAGTAATCGGTAAAATATGTTAGCTCGTTTTATTTTGTAGATGGCCTTGTTATTATCAAGCATGTATTATTGGACGCACTGAACTAACTGGTCACCGATATCTTCCAGAGGATATTCTTCCTCCAAGTGCAAAAGAGACAGCGGAGTGGCGAAGGCGAGTTACAAAACATCGTCATGGACGTCAATATCGACGTCGAAGCGCTAGCCAACGTTTCTCTTCTGCATCGTCATCATCTTCAGTCTCATCTTCGTCACGAAGCTCTTCTCGCAGTTCTGCTGCGTCGTCAGATATTTCCTCTTTAGCATCTGTCGCAGTATCATGGAAAGAAACTTGTGCTAAAGCTATGAAGCCTTACTTAAGATCACCTAGACGTCACAGAAAATATGGTAGCAGACATTCTTCTGCTAGTAATTCTCGCTCATCCGATTCCGACTCAGGGTCTGGTCGTTCTCGTTCTTCTTATCCTACTGCAGCGAGCGGTGCGAGATCTGCTGCTATGAATGATCGTGGCCGCAGCTACTGGGGAGCTGGAAAACATCGAGGTAGAAATATAGAATCTGGCAATTCGTCTGCGTCAAGATCAGGTTCTAAGTCTTCGGCAGGATCTCGTGGTCGTACTAGCGGTGGTAATCAAACCTGGTTCGGAGGTTAGTTCAGTTATTCAACACTAAATATTCTGGATATATTTTGTTCTTATTTAGTTTATCCTAACTAACTCTCTAGTCTTATTATACCCTCATAACAATACATTTCACAATTCCGAAGTATGAAGTAGGATCGGATAAAATATCCAACAAAATACATTATACATTTATCGTATTTGTCAAAGGTATTGTTACATGCAACAATATTCTGTTCCACTGGGAAGGAAAGATGGAGAACTCATCTACTATATTTTTTCCGCATCATCATCATATCATACTTCCTTTGGAGATCAGAATTTTGTATTTTCTCTCTCTCTTTCTCCCGTTATTTCTAGGCCCCGGTGGAGGACGTGGCGGAGATTTAAAGTCGAAAACTGGTCGACGATCAAAATCGCCTATCACTTCACCACCTCGGTAATAATGCTTTTTTTTCTTGCTCTCTTCATAATATTTCATGTTACTTAATTTTCTTTGACATTTATATTATATACATATATAGTTTCTAAATTGTTAGCCTCGTTTATGCTTAGATACCTAACTAGAGCTCGTCAAGAACAGACTAGAGGAAACCAGGTGGGTTTCAGACCTGGACGTGGCTGTATAGACCACATCTTCACACTACGACAGATCCTGGAACACAGACACACATTTTGACGTCCGATAATAGTTGTCTCCCCGTACCTTAAGGCGGCGTTCGACTCTGTGAATCGCGAGGTTCTGTGGCAGTGTCTGTCATTGAAAGGTGTGCCAAATAAGTACATTAACCTTATACAAGCTTTCTACTCGAACACCACTGGTCGAGTGAGAGCCTATGGCGAACTGTCATCTGAATTCTCTACATCAAGTGGTATCCCTCAGGGATGTCCACTTTCTCCATTCTTGTTTAACTTTGTCGTTGATATGCTGCTAGAGGTAACCTTGTCCTCGTCTGAATTTTCAGGAGTCGACTTTCTACCAGGAAAATCGCTTACTGACCTAGAATATGCCGATGACATAGTTCTATTCGGTGAAGACTCTGACAAAATGCAGAGTCTTCTGACTACCATAAGCAACAATCCAAGCATGTTCGGGATGTGGTTTTCCTCCTCGAAATGCGAAATGTTGCTTCAGGATTGGCTTGCGACTTCACCGGAACTAGTGATAGGGAGTGAAGTAGTTGAGCGTGCTGACCGCTTCACTTATTTGGGGAGTTTCATCAGTGCTGATGGCGTGGTGTGTGACGAAATCTCAGCACAGATACAGAAGGCTCGACTGTTTATTTAAGTTTATTTCACTAGATTCTACTTCTAGAATAATATCTTTGAACTCCAATCTCTCCGATTACTGCTAACACTTCTACTACCTCTTCTACTATGGGATTTGAATTGACAATTACATCTCTATGTGTTATTGTGGTATGACAACTTGATCTGATGTACGTAGGTACGAACTTCTACGTTGCTGTTAATTGATTGGTTAATTGATTTATATATATTAAATAATTAACACTGCAAATGATACAACTTTCATTCCTTTCCTCTCTCTCTCTCTCTCTTGTGTGCATGTGTTTAGACGACGCACAGATGTGCCACCACTTCCAAATGAAAGACCAGTAAAACGACCATGGGTTATAGCACCATCACTTGCAAATGCAACGGCAGCAGCAGCAACACAAAATGCTTCAAAAGGTAATAATGATCCTTATTACTGTGTAATTTTAACAATTGCGTTTCTTTTGGAGTTTTGGAACAGTGTGTTAGTGAAAAGTATACTATACAAATTTTAATTAGTAAGCATTCGTTTGCTGTTTAGGAATAAGTTATCTGGTTACGGTATTGATGGTTAGATAGAGAAAAAGGGGCACTTTTCTTGTTTTGTATTCAATGGTATACGACAATGTGTTGATTTATGATTTAAGTTTACCATCAATCGGAAATTATTTCGTTTCCAAAGTAAAGAAGAGATAGTTGTTTTTTTAAAAATAAGCTTTTTCTTTAAATAGTTAGTTAGTCAGTCAGTCATTTACAAAGTAGAACTTCGTATGTACGTACGTATGTACATACATCACCATTCAGACAGACAGATACAAGACAAAACTTCGTACGTAAGTACATCAGTTCAGTTTGCCATAACTTATCAGCATAGACGTAACTGTTAGCTCAAATCAAAGAGTGATAGAAATAGTAGAAGTATTAGCAGTAATGGAGAAGATTAGGGTTCGAAGATATGATATGATTCGAGAAGTATAATTCAGTAAGATAAATTTAGAAGGGTAAAGGTAGAGGTGATGAGAAATTCAGAAGATTAGTATTCGAAAGAACACAGAGTGGATGCATCTGCGCCATTGCAGACGATTCTGAGCCTTGTCGTTCGAGGTCTCTAACCATCGGTGACTTTCGTCTCGCGGACCCCAACCAGGTAGCCTACTACATCTACCAACATGACTCAGTCCACTTGTCAGTGACTTCGTGGATTTCTGCCATGTTTTGGTTTGGCCACCCCTTGATTTCTTCCAACCTACTCCTGCACTGCAAAACATAGCTCGACGAGGCAGTCGGTGGTTAGCCATACGTAACACATGTTCCAACCTCCTCAACTGATGAAGTTTCACTACTTCATCTATTGATTTGCCGTCCCTACCTACGAAAGTCCTCTACTCTTAACGACCATGTTTCGCATCCGTATGGTAGGACGGAGCTAAATGCTGCGCAGTACACTCCTCCTTTGGTTAGCAAGCGGATATCTCGTCTGCGCCATGAGTGACGCAGATTGGCAAAAGCCAATCGAGCTTTCTTTATCCGTGCTGAGATTTCGTCAGTCACCAGGCCATCAGCACTGATGAGACTCCCCAAATAAGTGGAGCGGTCTACACGCTCGAATACTTCACTCCCTATCACTAGTTCAGGTGCCGATGCAACCTGATCCTGAAGCAACATTTTGCATTTCATCAGTTCAAGATGCCATACCACATTAGCACACAAAGATGGAATTGTCTATTCAAACTCCATTGTTGTAGAAGTAGTAGAAGTATTAGCAGTAATCGGAGAGATTAGTGTCCGAAGTTATTGTTGAGGAAGTAGAATCTAGTGAAATAAGCTTAAAAAGAGAATGATATAGGTGATTAGGAATCCAGTGGATCAGTTACCTCATATATGATGTTCAACAGGCTGTATGTATGTGAAATATGCATTCAGTTTATCGATCTTCTTTTTCATGTGGCTGTATTTAGGCTGGAATACTATCCGGATGCTTAAATTAAAGTTTTCTATTGGCTAACAGGGGAATCTAGGACGCACGTTTCATCCTATCTGAGACTCGTCTTTGGCTAAAATGTACCTGCATCCTAGAGTAGATGTTTACTCTGAGACTCAAACGCGGTACTATTCTGTTAAAAGTTTAATTCATAAGACAAAACATGATCAGTTACAGTCCTAACCATCGATGAGAAGATTCAAACTACCAATGCAATGGGATCAATTTTCTCAAGTTCTCTTAATCCACAGAGCAGCAGAGCAACATCACGTGGTAGTGTCCCAGGGTAACCGGCATTCGAAATACATTTGTACAACATTTATATATAAAAAGTGGCCTATGGAATTTAGTTGGGAAACATGTGTAATCACAAATGTATTCAAAAATTTACTTGCGTACACTGATTGCTGAAATGTGAAGCAGATTAATTATCAGGCATAAATTATCAGTTGATTGATAAGGTTATGAATTATCGTTGATTAAGTTAGCTAGAGCATGCTTTGTTACACACGAACAATCTCTACTTCCGATATTGATTAGTTAAATTAATCGGTTATTTATTTATTTACGCGTGTTAGCCCTAATATGGAGCATAGG